AGCTCCTCCCGTTTATCACTGAAATTCACAACAAAATCAACAGTAGTCACGCTCATCTCGAAATCCACGCGATGCAAACTTGCGAACCGCTTGCACCGCTGGCTCTAGTTGCAACTAGACAACAAACTAGACAACAAAGGGTGGCCCATACGACCCGTGACTCCACCTATATTATCTAGTGACACTGTCACAGCCCCCAACTACCGTCACCACCTTGAGGCCTTGTGCGATTAGGCAACCCGCCCTCACGCCTGCATTCGGTACAGTATCCTTCAGTCGGGCGGGTCCGTCCGTGAGACGCGCTATGCGACAGATACTACTACTTGCAGACATCAGAATTGCGGAGGGATGTGATACAGTTGGTGCGGCTCACTTTACCTGGCGTCGAAAAGTAACGAAACAAAGCGACCGCCTATCAAAAAGCGAACATGCTCGTTGCATTTTTGTACGGAGAACCGCCCATCCACCCCATGGCCCCGTTGGCCCGTGGGTCGTGGGTGAGTCCTCGGCCGCGACCAAGGTCCGTTTCATGTTTATCTGTCGGATCACCATCGGCCCCCTACCCTCTCGGAGCAAACACTAGAGCGCCGCCCGCCCCGCCACGCCGCGCTACGCCCCGCCACGCTTCACCTCGTCACGTGAACAGGTGGACAGCACGCTTGCAAATATCTCACGCAATAACGAGAGCAAAGCAGGTCTCGAGCAGCAGGGCGGTGGACTGCTTCCCCCCGCGGTGACCCACCCATCTGACCCCCCGTCACAAACCTGCCGGCCGATGTCACCTCGACGTCAGACTGTCCAGACATGGCCATCATATGGGCCTCGACACCCGCTCCTCCTTGCCTCCCGTCTCCCATATCCTCCCACGCAATCGCAACCTATGCCCTTATCTGACCCCTTTCCGACACTCCCCGGTCCTAATGTGAATGAAACAGAAACCTTCCGCTCCACGGGGGTGTTTAAACCGCCGACGGGGAGGAGGCGTCCACTGCAGCGCCCTTAATGACCCTCCCAGAATTAATCTGATGAATCCCGTCCAAAATCTCACATGTGAGAAAGAGAGAGTGACCCGGAGTTAACCGTGCACTTTGTGCAAGTTGTACACGATGAGGAGAGGTGGGTGGGGAGGAGGGGGAGGTGTCAGAGATAAGCACGTGGTTGATTTTTCTTGTTTTTTGCGAACAGTTCTCGTTAAAAGATCCACCTTTTGTGGTTCTCTTTTGTGCAGCAGTCACGCGCACGGGGCCCGTGGACTCATCAGTAGCCTAGTTCTCTCAGTTCTCCTCTGCCCCCCCCCCTCCACTTTCCCCCCATTTTTTTCCCCTTCTCAATCGCCCCCGAAAGGACGACCCGTGAAATCCGGGCATTTGTCAGGTCATATGCGGCAGAGCGGGCGGGAGTCTCCTGACAGTCACCTGCCCCGACTCTTATGCCGCCTCCCCGCTGGGGACTGCAACGCAAGGAAAATGAAGGGAGGCTCTAATTCGAACCGACCCGTAATTTCTCTTACAGTAGTTGCATACTGTAAGCGTCTCTCCTCCTGATGGTCATGTGTGAACTCTTTTCAAGTGCGACGTGTCGTTACAACTTCCATTAATACAACCATAATTACCATTGCAGACTGTGATCACTCCGGGCAGGCGGAAAGGGGACTGGAAATGGGTACGTGTTTCTGCTTTCTCAAATAATCCTTTCTATTACTATTTGATCAAGAGCACGCGCGCACTTTCATTGACCTGCCAACACAATAAAAGCACAAAATACGCGCACCGTCAGTAAATGGTATGAAGTAGTGTTATACATGCACCGTATTTTTATTTTATTTTTTTATACCGAATCCGAGGCGTGCCGATTGACACGGGAGCAGCAGGACGCGATGAGCGTGGGAGGCGCCGCCATGTCGCCGAGCTGCCGCCGCGCGGCGCCGGGCGGGGCGAGGCGTGGCGTAGCGTAGCGCGGAGTGGGCGGGGCCTGGCCGGGGGGCGCGGGCCGCGAGAGCTAAGCCCCTCCCACCGCGCCGTGCCGGGGCCCTAATCAATAGCCGCCCACCACCGCCACCCGGGAGCAGGGCGGGCAGGGCGTTAATACACCACAGATAGCATCCCCCTGCTTCATCCCCAGGGGACCTCGCTCTTTCAATCAAGACCAAGTCCCTCGCGGAGGAAAGTTGCACGAGCGGGAGAGGCGGGGAGAGAGAGAGGGGAAAGGGGGAATTACAGCATTTCCCCGTGCCTATAGGGCCTATAGTTTCCTCGAGGGAGACGCCGCGCCGCCGAGCCCGCCGCCGCGTCCTGCACGCAGGGCCAAGGACGGTCGTGGGTCACGTCGAGATCGTCGAGGTGCTCGCCGCGGCGCCCACAGGGGGACTCCACCTCGCCGTCGTCGGCTCGCAGCGCGAGCTCGCCGCGCACAGCACAATAACATTCCCGAGCGGTCCGGGTCGGCGGCGGCGCAGAGAGCGCCCGCTCTGCAGAGGTGCTAATAACTCCATCTCGGTTTAATACCTGTCCGGTAATCACTAGTATTAGTCCGACTGGTCGGGTACCGCCGGCCGGGCCGGGGAGCGCGTCGGCACAGCATCACAAAACGGAAGGCGCCAACGGCGTGGAGAGCACCGTGAAGCCGAAGCGCGCGCTCGACGCGGAGCGTGGGGAGCTGGGCCGGGCGTCACGTTAGACTGGGCCGTTCGGCATTCGAATCAGTCATGCAGCCAGAACCACATCAAAGCCGTCCAGCTCGGGCCGTCAGCTTCCACGGAGTTTGGAGTTTATGCAAACTGGGCCGTCTGAGGGAACAACACTGGCGAGCGGGTGTCAGCGCCGTCAGCGTCTGGGAGAACGGGGTGGTTTATTTGGTCAGCGCAGAGCGGCCCCGCCCCGCCCCGCCACCGCGTCAGAGTCAGATATGAATGAAGCGTTTAGCGCGGCGTTAGCGGGGCTCACCGTGACTGCACTAATAACCCCCTACGGCCTACGGGGCAGGGCGGGGCGGGCGGGGCGGCTCACGGAGGCCCCCGCTCGCTCAAAGACGCCGCCCCTACTGCCCCTGCCCCCTCCGGAGCCCTCATGGGGTCATAAAAGCACCGGCAGCCGCGCCCCGCGCGGTGGCTCCGTGCAAAGGGTATCGTACACGGGTTTTAATTATTTTCCATGCCTCGGAAGGCGAGGTGGCGAACGAAAAAAATAAATAAAATGAAGAAGAACTAAAGACTCGGCGATCAGCTCCTCGTCACCTGGAACCGTTACGACAGCAGAGAGCCGACGGAGACGAGGGTGACATGCGGCGCGCGACGCGACCGAAATTACACAAAACAGCGGCAGAATTATTAAAACCACGAGGGAGAAAAATGGGGAGGAGGAGGAGGAGGAGAGGGAAGCAAATTAGGTCAGGATCCGTAATTATCACCCGGAAACGCGACACACGCGGCGACACAGCCGAGCGCGCGGTGGAGGGGAGGGGGAGGGGGTGCAGACGATGCGGGAGGGAGATGGCAGATAAGACTGCGGGGCGCTGCTGGGGCGGCAAGGAGGGCACGCGTCACGCACAGAGGCTCTCCATGACGACACCCCCATGTCACCGATGTCACCTGGCCGACCATACGGCTGGCCGACAGCGACCTGCTGGTTATATGGTGCGACATGAGGAGAAAGGGGTTTCCGAAAGGTGCGCGGTGGGTGAATTTTATGAGCAGGCCGACGTGGTCGTACTTTGGTCACGCGCTCCGGCAAACTTTGAAACTCGAGAAGAAGCATGGTTCATTGGAGTGAGTCACTGCCGACTCCTTGGCGAGCCGATATCCCCCAGCCTCACTCTAGCTCCCTCTTCCTGACATGTGGAGATGGTAGAAATGTAGAAATTTAGTCAAGGATCCACAAACAACCCCGAAAACTGACCACGCCTGTTCTCTCCCTCCCAGCAGGTGGCGACCCCCAGCGTGGTGAAGAAGATCCTCCGCTACAAGCAGGAGAACCCCGGCATGTTCGCGTGGGAGATCCGGGACCAGCTGGTGACGCAGCGGGTCTGCGAGCCGCACTCGATCCCCTCCGTGTCCTCCGTGAACCGCATCCTGAGGAACAGCGGCGCGTGGAGCGACGCCGACCTCATGCGCCAGCAGCAGCAGCACCACCAGCAGCAGCAGCAGGTCCTGCACCACCACCACCAGCAACAGCAGCAGCAGCAGCAGCAACAGCAACACCAGCAGCAGCAACAACACTCTAGTCCTCCAGGTAAAAACCACCCCGACTTTAATGAAGCTGTAGAAATCTGGTCACGGGTTGTTTGACGCGATCCTTTTCAACTTGCAGGCACGCGCGACAGCCCGGCCCCAGCGCCGCCAGGCCCCGGGCGCGACGTGCTCGCGGCGCTGCAGCAGCAGGCGGCCTGGTCGGGGCTGCTGCTGTGCGCGCCGCCCCCGCACCACCCCTACAACGCCCTCTTCCCGCTGCACCAGCAGCTGCTCCAGCAGCAGCTGCAACAGCAGCAGCAGCAGCACGCCCAGCTGCAGCAGCTGCAGAGCCAGCACGGCCAGGGCCGTGACGAGAACTCTGCGGACAGGCCCGACAACCTGGTGGTGAGTACGCACCGCATCGGACCGCAGCCCACGGGTCCGCCGAGCACGATGGGTGGCCTACCCGCGCGGCGCCACCCGGGCGGCAGCCGCGCTGGCCCGAGTTGTCATTCCTAGCCACATGCAAACGTAAAGTTTCTTTAGTCAAAATGAAAAAGAAAAAAAAAACAACAACAAAAACACACTCACATCGCTCGCTAAAAAATGCGTTTACTTTTGATAGATTTTATGGATGCGGCGTCATTGGGTAGTTAATGGAAATCTATCAGGCTACCGTGCAACATAGCCACACCCCTTCGCAACTCGTTAGTTGAAAGAAATTCACTTTGCGCCAGGATGCCGCGTGCGCTTGTCGGAGCCGCCCCGCCCCGCCACGCCCTGGCGATTCTTTTTAATGGGCGTCGCTGGTCGCCGTTTGACCTGGCCGCTCCCGTGGCCGTGCCGGTGGCGCCCGTGGCGGGGCCGTTCCGTGGCGGCCCGTGTACCGACAACATCATCGCCCCGTCACCCCCTGCGACCCCCACGCGTTCATCAATTATTAGCCAGCCCC